CTGCACCAATCAAAGAGGCTCATGGCCTCATTCTTTACTAGTTTATTTTCATCTTTAATTCTACATTTGTATTAAAGTGAATGATGAGGGTTATCAGTTGAAGGAGGCTTCCCAGGAACTCAGAACCTGGTCAACTCAGCTCCGGTCTTGTATTGATTATTCTGTACAGTGTAGGTTCCCAGGGGCAGCTTTTTTTTTTTTTTTTAAGAAAAAAACGTAATTATAAAACTGGGCATTTCCAAAATATGTGTGGTCTTTACCGTGGAAATATTGACTTGCAAGTTTTTTGTTTGTGAGTCTGTATTCCTTAGATATGGATCCAATTCTTTCTGATATGAGAAGTGTTATTGATAGATTATAGTACTTTTTCAACTGCACCCACTTCTGGAAATTGTTGATCAAATCAGGCAGTGTCAAATTATTTATTTTACAGAAAATTTTTGAGGATAAAATTTTTCTGAAAACATTTTTATTTTTTCTTTATTTTTGAAGGATATTTTGAACTGATATAGGTTGACTTTTTAAAAAAACTTAAATCTTTAACTTTCTGTTTGAGAATATCCATTAGGAGGTTGTTGTTATTGTTTTTAAATGTACATATCTTTTAAAATTCCCTATATATTTATTAGTTATATCCATCTTTTTCTTAAATTATTCACATATCCATCATGGGCACTTTAGCCAACTAATTCTAATAAGTGTGTTAAATGTGAATTTCCTCTTATTGATTGTTATTCTTTTGATGGGGGTAGTAACACATGCTTTCTGACATTTTTTTGTAATGTTTTATTGCATTATGACATTGTATATAAAAGAACAGTGTATCTTGTAGTATAAATATTTATATTTTTGTACACATATGATTATATAATTATGTAATTGATACACATATATACACACAAATATATATATGAAAATATTTTGATTTAATGTTTTCAAGAGAATGTAAGTCCTTTTTTCTGCATGTTAGATGGGTCAAGGGCTTATCAGTAATGTTCTTCTAATAACTGAGTTAGGCAGGCACCATCTCTATTTTTTTTAAAAAAAATTGAATTTAATTTAATTTATTTTTTATACAACAGGTTTGTATTAGTTATCCATTTTATGCATATTAGTGTATATATGTCATCTAATTTTAATCAGCTTGATTGAACCTCTAGTTTGCCTATACTTTGACCAGGTATTCTGCCACTCCCTGATCTGAGCTCATTATTATATTTTATTTCAGCTGGGAGGGATATTGGCCCATAGTTTCAGACTGTTTTAGTTTGCCTTTGAAGTCATTTGAGTTTTGTACATTTTAGTTACTGTATTTTACAGTTTTTGCATTTTTCATTTTCATCTTTATATATTCAAGCACTCTGTCAAAATTCTTAAACTTGTCTTTAATTTCTTAAGAAAAATAACCACAATTATTTTTGTGTATATTTCTAATATGTTCATTATCTGGATCTCCTGTAGACTTGTTTGTACTCTATGTTGTCTCTTGTTCTTGTCTTGCTTTTTTTGCAGTATTGATAATTTTTAATCAATTACTATAGGTAATTTGAGGTCTATTTGCAGAAGAATTTACTCTGGAGGTACCAAGCTGGGGCAAGATTACTAATATTGTCATATCATCAAGATTGATGTAATTCAAAGGTTGACTTCAGTTCCTGTGAAACATATTCTGTTTGTATACCCTTAAAATTCTAGTGGAGCTTTAAAATCCTAGAATGTTTCAAAATCCTAGAATGTTTACCAATAACCCCAGTTCCTTACAATGCCATGGGAGTCTAATTCTGTTCATTCACACTATGAGCCCATTGACGTTTTTGGATTTAGTGGGCAACTCTAGGAAGAAATCAGCCCAAATACCAACATTTCTTTTGACTTAAAACCTCTCCTAATTTTGATCTAGCAGTTCTTAGCCTGGTAATGCTCCAGTGTTTGTGCACAGATTATTTTATCCAGTTTTACTAGCGTTCTAGTAGTGATTTGAACTACCCACTCTGATGCTGACAAAAGTTATACTTGGTAAATAATATCATATTACACTTCTATATATAAGGATGGTTGGTAAAAATATTTATTTTACAATATATGCAAAATTATTTAGAATAGACAAGAAATCTGGTGTGAGAATTATCACTGGAAGTCGGTTCCAGTAAATTTAATAGGTGGAGAGGAAGCCTAGGATTAATGTCATTAATGTCATTCAAAATTCAAACTTCAAAATGATGGAGTAATGTGCAGCCATTAGAAATGCTATCTAAACCTATTTACCAAATGACTTAATTGCCCATTGTAAATTAACTGCCCATATATTCCCTGAACATACCAGGTAACTTTATATCTCTCTGCTTTGTCCATTCCATTTTATTTTTCCAAACTTTTTCGATTCTATCCTATACTACTTCTGTTTTTGCTTTTAATAGGAGGTTCCATCTTTTAGGAAAATTGTGAACATCAATTTCTCTGTAAGACTGGGATCTTTGGCCGGATCTTGAGTCCCTTTGAACTTCCATTGCCTCATGTTTAAAAAACAAACAAACATGTAGCACACAAAAGTTATGTTCCTCTGAGTGCTATTTAAAGTTCTAAAGAAATAATGACTTGAAAATCTCTTTGAACGTTTATTTAGCTCAACACAAAGATAATGCCCTTTTATTATTAGATTTGTCTCCTTTTCAAAATGTGTCCAACAGCAATGTACCATTTTCTGAAATCTGTGTCCTATAAAAAAGATTAGCACATGACTATAAAAAAGTAAAAGTAAAGGATATCCATTTTTTGCTGACATAAAGGTTGTGGTTCTCAGCCATATATAGCCTGAGCCACTGGAAAGCATAGACATAAAAACTCACACATCCTAAATCAAAATTCTTCACAACAAGAATAATTGGCTTCCTTCTTACATGCTGTAAAAAAATGACTTTCATGGAAAAGAACTTACTGAGATTCAAAAAGTCGGTCACTTTTACCAACCAACTTTGGATGAAGTTAATAGAAGTTATTTAAGCTTTATATTTAGTATTTTCTGAAAATACACAGACACAAGTTAGATGTATATTTAATTTTTATGTGCAAACCTAGAACTATATCTAAATTTTATTCTTTCTCTCTGCATTCCATACATATCCATTAACTTTTGTGCTTTTCTTCTCCTGTGAAGAGAGGTATAAGGACACATGATTTAAAGAACAAGGCTTTTATAGCTCTTGAGATGTTTATTTATACTGTCTAATAATAATAACATATATGGATGCCAGAATAAATGTGTTTATTTACTTAAGATAATTAGATACTGTTAAATTTTGAAGGATATCTAATAATTGGATGATTTCCATCACCAATGCAGGTATATGATTTAAAGTTTAGGTTTGTTACTTAGTTTTACATTCTACAAGACCAAATCTGTAAGTTAGGTTGGGTGGCTGCAGAGTGAGTGAACAGCCAGTCTTTGGGGACCATGAAGAGGGTTGTTTCCTGTGAGAATAAAATAGTTGTCATTTGGGGTTTCCCTGGTGGCGCAGTGGTTGAGAGTCCGCCTGCTGATGCAGGGGACACGGGTTCGTGCCCCGGTCCGGCAAGATCCCACATGCCGCGGAGCGGCTAGGCCCGTGAGCCATGGCCGCTGAGCCTGCGCGTCCGGAGCCTGTGCCTGCGTACCGCAAAAAAAAAAAAAAAAAAAGTTGTCATTCTGCCAAAAGATCTGGACATTCAATAAATTGGTGTTTAGAAGCCAGATCCACAGATAGGCCGAAAATCAAAATAGGTTGGGTGGCAGAATCTGGATCCATAACCCAAGGTAGGAGAGCCCTGGACTCTATAACCCAGGTGTCTGAAGCCACTGGATCCACAGCCCGGTGAGTAGCAGCTTCTGGATCCAGAGCTCAGGGAGCAGCCTCTGCTGGACCTAAACCCCAGAGACCCAGCATATATTGTCTAGCAGGGATGGTAGAGAGTGGAGGTCCTTGGACAGTAGCAGGATGTCTGGCAAGAACTGGACACTGCACTGAATGCCTGGCACATTGTGGGCTCATAGCAGGTCTCCTGACAGCTACTGCAGAGAGAGGAGCCCAGCTGGCATGTGCTGGGAGAGTAGACATCAGTGCTATAGACAAGGTTGCTGGAGTAGAAGGAGCCTTGGTAGTGCAGATGACTCCCAAGGGAGCTGGAGGAGAAGTTTCCAGAGCAGCAGTTGTAGGACATGTTGACAGGAGATGTGAGTTCAGCTGAATTAGACTGACAGTATTCTGTGGCATTAGACTGAGAATATTCTGTGGCATTTATATACTCTCAGAAATAGGTGTTTACAGCTACAAGGTCACCATTCCTACATGCCTGCTCCCTCGTGTGCATAGCATTACCTCAATCACCATTTCTGTAATTGCAGCTGCATAGTTCCCTACACATTGTATTTATGGGTGCTATAATAGTTTTGGTTACAACACAAAGCCAATAAACTAGTCATGTCACAAATGCTATGACCGTTTTATATTAATGACCATCCCATCACAGCCAAGAATGTCCCTCCTTCCTGGTATACGCTGCATGTGTATCTGAGTCTGGCTTTGCTGGGGTATGCATTCCTTCTAAGGATGGAGATCAAAATGGTACCATCTTTCTTTCTTATTTGGTTAGAGGCATAGCTTTGGCCTTCTAAAAAGCCTTCTAAAGATTGAAACTACTTGTGACTATTCATTTTTTTCTCCAAAATTAATTTCCAAGTATTAAATATTAATGCAAATATCTTATAACCAATGGAGAAAGCCCAGCAATGTTACAAATGGAATGGAGGAAAGCTACTAACAGAGGGGACCCTGGGTCTAAAGCCATTGGATCCACAGCCCAATGAGTAGCAGTTTCCAGATCCAGAGCTCAGGAAGCTGCAGCTGCTGAACCTAAATCCCAGAGACCCAGGGTCAGTTTTCCATCAGAGTGTGGAGGTCCTTGGGTGGTAGCAGGATGTCTGACAGCAACTGGACACCACACAGGATGTCTGGCACCTGGTGGGCTCACAGCAGGTCTCCTGACTGTAGAGAGAGGAGTCCAGCTGGCAGGTGTTGGGAGAGCAGAGGTCAATGCTATAGACCAGGTTGCTGGGGTAGAAGGAGCCACGGGAGAAGCCTGGCTAGCACTGGTAGCCCCCAAGGGAGTGGGAGGAGAAGTTTCCAGAGCAGCAATTGTAGGACATCTTGACGGGAGATATGAGTTCAGCAGAAATACACTGAGAATATTCTGAAGTCTAAGGTCATCTTGTGGACTGGGTAATTATATACTCTTGTCAATGGTTCGGCACAGTACTGGTGCAATCCTCTCACATTTTTCACTCCTCTTCTGCATGTGTGTAATTTATTAATCATCTTTGTAATTGCAGTTGACTAGTTTCCTACTTATTCTATTTACTGGTGCCATGATTTATTATAACACAAAGCCAATGACCGTCCCTGTACAGAAATTCTAGGACAATTTGTCAGTTATCTTCATCCTATTAAGGCCAGGAAAGCCCATTTTTTACTTCCTGGCCGTGACTCCATGTATATCTACTCCTGCTTTGCTCTGGGATTTCTTCTGTCACTTTTCTACCATGTCAAGTGATCAGTGACATAACTTTGTCTTTTATAAGGATGCTTCTAATGATTGATTCTAGTTGTCACTACTGATTCACATTCTTCAAATTTATTTTCCATCTATCACATGTTATTATACAGTGCTCCTCATATCCAATGGAGAGAAGAAAAATAACACATAATGAGAAATGGTTAGAAACAGAAAGGAATCAGGCAAACATTTAAAGACAAAGTGACTCCAGAAGACTGAATTAAGATGGAACCACAGGAAGAAACTGATTTGGGGCATGTGAAGAGGGAGTGGGGATAATGATGGTAGTTTGAGAAACTGGGAAAAGGGATGAAGAGACAGGGATTTCAGGTATCTCTTCTACTTGCTTTGAGACTATGGATCTAAATGCCATTACAAAAAAACACTTCAAAAATGAATATAATTTATATATTTTCATATATTTTTATTTACCTCATAAAAATTTTAAAAGAACCTGGGTTCTGCATCCTAGAACAACTCAGGCTTTTCTCTGCTCATACTGTGAATGATTTTTGTGCATTTTTCAAAGTCAGTTCCTTTTCTGTAATTTCTTTCAAAAATATAAAATATTTTCCCTTTGTCACCCCTGTTCTCCATTTTATTTTTTCTGTTGTATAATATAATAGCTGAGTGCTAATTTCCAGTGGGCTAATTATATCAGATAAACTTGCACTGAAATAAACACAGAAATTCTTTAGGATGAAGGAAAATAATCTTAAAAGGAAACATTAAGTTTCAAGAAAGAATAGAATATTTGCTAGTTGGATTCTCCAGGAAGCAGGCACTGAGACAGGAATGGAAGAACAGAAAGTTTGTAAGAGAGTAACACTTGTGAAAGAAAAAAAGCCATTCTACCACCTTGTTCAGTCATTGACAAGGGGCTGCCATGAGAAAAACCTGACCTTGGCTTGAAATCTGAGGCAGATTCCAAGGAAGCCAACAGAGAAAGGCTGTCAGCTAACCTCACTTGTCACATCTGGATAGCTATTCCTTTTTTGAAGTGATGTTATGTGAGTTCCAGTGCAGATCTGTACCTGTCACAGTCCACCATTTTCACCTTGAGGGTCAACTTATCAGGAGAGAGATTCTCCGTAGCTCTGGTTGGCCTCTCTTCCTGAGGGGAAATGTTCAAGAGTGACTGGGTGGGATGAAACGCACTCTGTCACTGCATTTGATCTTGGAGCTGAGATGGGTACTCATTATTTCCCTCCTTCACAATCCATTAGAAATTTGCTTCACCCTCAGCTACCACTTCTATTGGTCTCAGTGGATTTCTTGTTGGTATTACCTATGCCCTTTCCTAAGAAGTATGAACACTGATAACCACACCCTTTTCTTGCTATAGTTACTGCACATGACAAATCACATCAATTGGGCAGGAATTTTCAAGGGCCATCCAAGTAGATCGACTGAGCTCCACACATACTCCCTCTTACCCTCACTGTGTAACAGTAACCCTACTATTTTCTACTAAACAGGATCATCTACCCTTGGATTAGATGGTAACTCTTTTTTTTTTTTTTTGCTTGCTGGTACCTGAAACAAGGAACTCGAAGTGCTCAGCCAGCAGTCTTAATTGTAGTTCAATGGGACCCTTGGTATGTCCTTTAGAAAGTCTATCTTTGGGAACAGGTCTTCTATCCTTGGAAATTCCAGTTGCAGAAATAGGAAGCACAAAGTTCTTAAACGGGTCATTGGGGATGACAGTAAGTGGATATTTGGGACCCAATCTTTGAGGACATTGCTTCCATGCTCCAAGCAAACTTCAGCTTTGCCGTCAGTGGGGCTATTTAATGCAGTATCAGGCAGACAGCTTCAGGGTCCTGTGGTTTTTGATATAACTTGTGGATCCCATTTATTGCTGTCTCTACTATGAAGTGGATTTCCTGATTAGATGCTGCCTTGTGAGGAATTCCATGCTGGTGGATCAAGTTTTTCATCAGCTCCTGAATAATATTGCTGCTGAGATAAGCACGAAAAGCAGAGGCTTACTCTGAATAGGTAGTTATGTGTTTGAGGATGGACCACTGATCTTTCAGGGCACAAGGGGGCCATGTTAACTTGCAACCAAGTGACCAGTTGGTTTCCTTGAGGAATAGTGCCATACTGGGAGTTTAGCATTAGCCTCCTGCTGACAGATTGGACATTTGTAGTGGCATTAATTATATCAGATTTGTAAGTGGGAGCTTATGCTGTTGGACCCATTCATAGCCTCTTTGGTCACTTATTCACATGCTCATCTTGCCAGCATGGTGAGGACTTCTGGCAAAGGCAAGCTAGCTCGACTGACAGTCATTTTGTCAACTTGATTTTTTAGTTCCTCTTCCATGATAGATGCATTCTGGTGGGCATTGAGAAGAAATACAAAGATCTTGACACTTTGGACCAACTTGCATATATCCATCCATATGTCTCTATACCAGATTTTATTGTCTGAATATTATATATTCTCCCTTCCAGGTTTTTAACTAGCTGCTCAGGTCAATTGCAACTGTCTGGGAATCTAGATGTATCATCAACTGGGACCACTTTTGTCTCTTATGCAAAGTGGATAACCAGGTGCTAGACATATGATTCTACACATAGAGAAAGCATATTTTTCTCATCATGGTGTTTAAAGGCATCCATGCAATGAGCCAATCCATCTGCAAGCCTTGCTTGGGCTTTTCCCTTCCTCCTTCAGCTGGTCATTTGAGGCACCAAATGTGACCACACATGTGATCTGAGAAAGAGGTGGTGGTGCAGTGCTGGTCGGTGACATGGGGGTCTGGGCTTCTGCTCATGGAGTCTGCTTTCTTGTTCTGCTAGTGTTCATTCCTCTATGAGCTATTTCTGTCTTACAATGGGTTGTTACTGAGTCCACCTGACTTCATGACTTGGAAGTTTCAACAGAACGCAGCTCACGATGGACAGTTACAGATGCATGATCACTTGTCCCACAGTCAAGTTTTGTACCTCTACCAGGTCCAAGTAGTTTCCAAGGATCTGATTATCCGAAGATATGTTAATTTTCAACTACAGATTATAAGACCTTGTTCTACAACTTTATTTGCCTGCATTGTGATTTTCCCACTGAGGTGTGCCGTAAACTCCACATTGCAGTTTTATTGTATTTTTATTTTTTTCAATACCACAGATGCCACCAACACCATATGGTCTGCCAGATTGTTTGACCCAACCAGTAGGGTTGCTTGCATCTGAGACTAGACCTACAGAATCTTTTCCTGCTCCTGGTCTAAAGGAAGCTTTGTATTAGGCCAGAGAGGTACTTCTACTTGGGGAGTATGTTTGTTCCAGAACCCCAAAAAGCCTACCAGATGCTCTGCTACTTTATTTGTAGTAGGGGATTTAAGAGATTTAACTGTTTGTTATATATTTTATATTTTTTATATTATGTTATATATTTAATATGAATATATTTATATAAAATAAGGAAATATAATGACATACTATTTTACATAATATTTGACAAAAGTTTTATTTTATAAAGTATTTTAAAATGTTTAAATAAGTAGAAAATAGAATGAAAATGAGCAGGCAGAAAGCTATTTTAACAGTATGAATAAGAGAAGATGAATCCTAAGATTAATGTGATCCAAAACTCAAGATATCCAAAACAATGAAGTGAAAGAGACCTATTATACCTCTCTAGCTGATTTTCCATTACTAATCCATACAAATTGTAACTTGATTTTCAATAATTTCCTGAACACAAGTACCTATGTACCTCTCTGCTTTGATCATTTTATTTCACCTTCTCAGAATTCTCCTTATTCTCTCCCATGTTGCTTGTGTCTTCACTTCTTATATTAGTCCTCATCTATCATATAGATAGATGGTTTTATTTAGTTTCATTGTAAGACTGGGACCTATAGTGAACCCTTAATCTGCTTTGAGTCTTAATTTCCTTCTGTGTAAAATAACTAGTTCATAAAATGTGTGTTTCTCATAATTCTTATAGTGATCTGAAAAATGATGAATAGGAAAATTCTTTGAACCTTGTTCTTTACCTCTGTATAAAGATACTGTCTTTTGGCTATTTTCTTTAGACCTTATCAATATGTTATCTATACTAGCACTATGCTGTTTTCTGAAATATGTGACCTATAAAATGTCAGAATTGCAACATAAAACATAAAAACAAGGAGTGTGTAAATGTGTGTTGCAATATGAATGAAATAGCGACTTCTGATGGTTTGAAAGCCTTGTTTTTCCAGCCATGTTTAATTTGGATCTTGGATACAATAAGGTGAAACTCTACATCTCATGAACCTAATTAATTCTCACCAAATATAATTGGCTTCCTCTTTACACCTGTGAAGAAATCAATTACATACAAAGATACTCAATGAGATGAAGGGATATGGTTTTTTTGCCACCCAACATTGACTGAATCAAAGAAAGCTCTCTAAACTAATGTACAAAACTTTTCATATAACCTAAAATTTTTCCCCATTCAGTTGTATTTTCCAAATTGCTTGCTTTTCTCCTTCAGTCAGCAAACATCAAGGCCCCATATTCTTTGAAGAAAATGTGCTCTATGCCACTCCTGAGATTATTATTCACGTGAAGTTTATACATGCAATGTAAGGATTTCAGAAAACAGAAGTTTTGAAGAAGAAAATGTTTAAACCCTCAAATAAATTAGTTCAAATCTCTCAATATTAGTTTTTCAAAGTTTTCTTTCAGAGGTATAGTAAACGTTAACTCAAAAACAGCCTCCAAAAAAAGCAAAAGAAAAAAATCCCCGCTTAACTAGTTAAAACTAACAATAAAATTAGTAGCATATTTGCAAGCCAGATTGAATGAGCTTATTAGATTATATTCATTTAGGTTTTTATCCATTTTGTGAATAAAATTCATGAACAATGATCCCATTAATTCATTAACATTAATTCATTGTTAACATGAATTTCATTAATTGATTTAGTAATATATTTCATTCATTTTACTAATTCCGTTAATTTATTCCATAAAATTAATCATTAAGTTCAGTACATGTGGCAGACAGTTTTTTGGTCAGTATTTCACGAATGGAAAAAAGCTGAAGAACAGGTGATATTCCCGAAGATCATGAAGATGATAGAAGCTCTGTATAGAGGTTGGACACATTGCTCACATCTGAATGTTCCACAAGCTGATCAATAGAAGGCAGATTGATCTGTAACACAGTGATTGGCAACACCTAGAGGCAAAGTAGGATGGACGGCAGAACCCGGATCTATGGCTCAACTAAGGGAAGGCGTAGACTTCATAACCCAGGGGTCTGAAGCCATGGGATCCAAAGCCCAGTGTGTAGCAGCTTCTAGATCCATAGCCCAGGGAGCAGCCTCTGCCATGGGATCCAAAGCCCAGTGTGTAGCAGCTTCTGTATCCATAGCCCAGGGAGCAGCCTCTGCTGGACCGAGAGCCCAGAGACCCAGGATAAGTTGTCCAGCAAGGACTGTAGAGCATGCAGGTTCTTGGGCGGTAGCAGAATGTCTGGCAGGGACTGGATAGCACACAGGATGTAAGGCACCTGATGGGTTCATAGCAGCCACTCTGGAGAGAGGAGTCCAGACGGCAGGAGCTGGGAGAGCAGCGGTCAGTGCTGTAGACCAGGTTGCTGGGGTAGGAAGAGCCACAGGAGGAGCCTGAGTAGCACAGGTGGTCCCCAAGGGAGCGGGAGGAGAAGTTTCCTGAGCAGTGATAGTAGGACATGTTGACAGGAGATGTGAGTTCCAATGAGTGACAATGAGAAGATTCTGAGGTTTAATGTCACCTCCTGGACTGGGTTGTTTTTATACTCTTAGCCATGGGTGTGGCATTCTACAGTCACCTTTCTCATGCTTGTAATCTCTCATCTCTGTATGTGTAATTCAATAATATCTTCTGTAATTGCAGATGAAAAATTCCTTTCATCTCACATTCATGGGTGAATTCACCGTGTTGTTAAAGCACTAAGCTAATGACCTGTTCCAAAGTCAGAAATTCTATGACTACATGTCTTTGATGCCATCTCATCATGACCAGAAAATCCCCTACTCTTCTCGCTGGCCAAGATTCTTTGTTCATTTGACTGTATATTGGCTGGGGGCTGCTTACCCCTAAGGGAAGGGATTAAGATGAAGTAAATTTTTTTTGTCAGTGGAATAAAGGCACCCTATTTGCCACCAATGATTTTCTTTCCCTAACTTTATTTCATTGCCTAAAATTATTTTTATATATTTTATTATAAAATTGCTTCTCAAATTCTTTAGAAAGAGAAAATAGATCAGATAAACTGAATAAGAAATATGGTGGATCACAGAGATAAACCAGAACAAATGTTTAGAGGCAAAAATGACTAAAGAAGTCTACTTTGAAGCAGAGACTCAGGGGATGCCAATATGTGCACATGTGAAATGACTCAGAGTCAAATATTTTAGAGTCAATTGGAGATAAGTAGTGACTTTATGGGGTTTTCTATCTCTGTAGTTTAAATTAAAAAGTTCAATATGAGTATAGTTTATGGCTTTTCATATATATATTGTCCCTTTTGTCATCTATATTTAAAATTTTCTAGAGGTCTTTCTTCTCTAGAACAACTCCCAAGTAATACCTTCTGAACATTTCTACCTTCAGATTCTTTCATATGATTTTCTTTTTCACTTTAAAACATACTTTTTATCTACTCTATTCCTTTAAGATTATTTTTCCACTGTAAAATATCCAAATATCTTCTTTTTATAGAGCTTTCCATAACAGGTAAACCTGAACTAAAATGAATATTGAAGGATTTTCTCAAATTAAAAAGACAATAATCTCAGGGGGAAATTTGGAATTGCAGGAGGGGAAAAGAAGACTGAAATATGAGTAAATTATGTCTAAATACACATTGTACACAGCACTAATAAAGTGGTTCTTAATATATAAGAAGAAGTAAACAGTAATAAATTAAGAATGATCATTAAAATCTAAGATTTTGCTTAAAAATTAAAAGCCTAGAAAAAATAACAAAAGAGTAAAATTATAGCATTAAACCATTTTATTACTCCTCAAATGCATGAAAGGAGACAAAAAGAAACAAAAGATGGATTAAATAACAATAAAATAGTAAATATGTAGGTAGAAATCTGACTGTATCAATAATTAAGTTAAATATAATATGACAAATAGTCCATATAAAAGACTTAGGATATCAGACTGGAATGAAAATCAAAACTATTTTCTACATAAAAGAGATTTTCTTAAATATGAGGAAACAGAAAAGGAAACATAAAAGATATATCTGGCAAAAGAAACAAAAATGCTAGTTCTACTTTATTAATTTCAAAGTTTGCTATATGTTAAGAAGTTTATTGTATATTAATCAAGATATTTCTTAACAATCAATCTGTCAGACTACCAGGAGGATACACATTATTTCATTAGTTATTTAAATGTTACACTAAGGCCACACCATCCAATAGACTAGGCACTAGCCACATATATCAAATTCAATTTGCATACATTAAATTAAATTAAATTAAAATTCAGTTCCTCAGTCATATTCACATTTCAAGTGCACAACAGATAACATGTGGCTAATGGATACCAAATATTGGAAATTGCGATAAAAAATATTTTCAGCATCAAAGAAAGTTCTCTTGGGCAGTGCTGCCTTAGGGATCACAGCCGATTGTTGATTTGCTAATATAAATTCATATTTTTACTGTTTTCTGTACAATGCAAGAATGTTAGAAATCTTAAGGCCATTTATCCTTATCCCAATTCATGTATTATTATGTTAGTATTTTCATTTTATGTATGCTTATGCATATTGATAAATATTTGTCCCCATGTTTTACAGGCAATATTTGCTTAAATGTACCCAATATATATATTTTATTTACTCTTTATTCTTTCCCACATTTTTTTTGCTATAGGCTAGGATCATTTTGCTTTTGACTATGTATAACTTTTAACTATATATTTTTGTGTTGGAAGGTTAGTGACAAGTTCTTGAAGTTTTCAATTGTCTGAAAATATCTGTATTTCTATTTCCTTTTTGAAACAGATACTCACTAGTCATGTATTCTAGTTTTAAATTGTTCTTTCTTCACAAATTTGAGGCTATTTAATTGTTTTCCTACCTTCCCCTTTCTATATGTTTAGAGTTCAGTTGTCAATTTTATTGTTGTTGTTGTTGTTGTTTTGTGGTACGCGGGCCTTTCACTGTTGTGGCCTCTCCCGTTGCGGAGCACAGGCTCCAGACGCGCAGGCTCAGCGGCCATGGCTCACGGGCCCAGCCGCTCCGTGGCATGTGGGATCTTCCCGGACTGGGGCACGAACCCGTGTGCCCTGCATCGGCAGGCGGACTCTCAACCACTGCGCCACCAGGGAAGCCCTATTGTTGCTTTTTTTTGAAGGTAACTTGATTTTTTCCCCATAGGTTGTTTTACATTTTTTTTTCTTTTTCTTGTTCATCAGTTTGACTCCATTGTGCCTAGGTGTGGGCCTTTCTTCATATTTGTCATACATGGGATTTGTAACATTTCTTGAATTTGTGAATTGATTTTCCTCTATTTGGAAAATTCTCTCTGGATCTGTTTCTATTCTATGCTTCGTCTCTTAGATTTGGTGATGCCTTGACTTGTCAATGGCTGTTAATTTTTCATTGAATATGAACGTGTATATATATATTTATATATATGTATATATACATGTGTCTGTGTATAAATATATAAATATATATATATATATATATATATATATATATATATATATATATGTATGTATACACACACACAACTTGTTTTAGGACTCTAGTTGAAATTTTTAGACCTTCCCATATTCTCCATGTTCCATATGCTCTGGAGTGTTGTTCAATATTTTTATGCTTTCTTAACTTTTTAGTTTGAACATACTCTCCTGAACAATCTCTAATTGTTTCTTCAGCTATGTCTAATTTATTTTTAATCCAATTGTAACCAATTCTACATTTAATTTATTGCATTTTTTAATTTTAGAATTTCTACTTGATTCTTTTAATATGTTTCAATGTTCTGCCAAAATTTTCTATCTCTTTATTTCTTAAGCATATGGATTATAGTTATTATAAGATCTATGTCTTACCTTTCTATTTACTGAATCCCTTGTAAGTCTGTTTATACCACATAACACATATTTTGGTTTTAATAATTTATTAACTTCTTGAAGTCTGATAAATTTTCCTTGGATATCAAACTATAACTGTATCATCTGTATATTCATCTATATTTACATATTCATTTATAGCTATATATTCATTGGTAATTATAGCTATATAAAACTATATCTATAACTATATCTATGTGGGGATCCACATCCTACAAGGGAATCAATCTAATTTCTGATTCTGAGATATTCTATTCAAACAATACTCTTCCACCAGTTATAGTCTGAGTAAGAAAAATATCTGAGGTCCTCTAAAATTTGTTCAAATCCCCAACTTTGTAGGATTTCAGAACCTATTCCCATGTGCATATTGAGCTTTTTCTTTTTTTTGCGGTACGCGGGCCTCTCACTGTTGTGGCCTCTCCCGTTGTGGAACACAGGCTCTGGACATGCAGGTTCAGTGGCCATGGCTCATGGTCCCAGCCGCTCCGCAGCATGTGGGATCTTCCCAGACCGGGGCACGAACCTATGTCCCCTGCATCGGCAGGCGGACTCTCAACCACTGTGCCACCAGGGAAGCCCTGATCTTTTCATATTATCTCTTTTATCTATCACAATCAAACCCTAGTCAATAAACACTTTTATCTATTACAATCACATAAACAATAATAATAAACAACTAACAATAATAAACATAGCTGGATATCAGAATCGATTAATTTATTAGATTATAATGACTTTTCACACAATTTTGGAAGAAAATACAATGTCAATTCTATCTGCGATGCAGACTTTAGACTTTATTTTGAGTTAGTATTTTAATAATAAAAATTGTTAGATAAAGTTTGTCAGCCAATGTTTAGGACCAGAGACAAGGTGACAATTTGATAATTAGAAATAAGAGGGTAATTCTTCCTGTAGATGATGAAAACAATAATGGTTATGAATAGAGTCATTGAAGACATTGGACAAGATTAAAAATTATGTACGATGATCAGTAGGAGCCAGATCCACAGGTTGGTCTGTAACAAGACTGGAAGTTCCCAGAAGTGAAGTAGGATGGGTAGCAGACTCTAGATCCATAGTTTAGAGAAGGGAAACCACGAACTCTGCAAGCCACGGGTCTGAAGCTACTGGAACCACAGCCTGGTAAGTAGGAGCTTCCAGATCCATAGCCCAGGGAGCAGCTGTTGCTGGACCCAAAGCCTAGAGACACAGAATAAGTTGTCTGAGAGGGCCTGCAGAGTGTGGAGGTTCTTGAGTGGTAGCAGGATATCTGGCTAGGTCTAGACAGCACATAGAATGTCTGATACCTAGTGGGTTTACAGCAGGTCTCCTGACAACCACTGTAGAGAGAGGAGCCCAGCTGGCAGGTAGTGGGAGAGCAGGGGTCAGTACCAGTACCAGTAGACCAGGTTGCTGGAGTAAGAAGAGCCACAGGAGGAGCCTGAATAGCACAGGTGGTCCCCAAGGGAGAGAGAGAAGTTTCCAGAGCAGCGATTGTAGGACATATTGACAGGAGATGTGAGTTCAGCTGAATTACAGTGAGAAGATTCTGAGTTTGAATGTTACTCCTGGACTGTGGTATTTATATATTCACAGTA